GTGCGGGCGCCCCGCCCCCCTCGCCCCGCCTCGCCACTGAGACCAGGTGCCCTCCGACCTGCCTCGGGGTGGAGTTTGATACTGTACACTTGGTCTCGATGCCAGTTCGTGTTTTCCTTCCACTGAGGGTTTTTAGTTTGGGTTTATTTTTGGTTGGGTTGGCACTAATCCTTTTTCTTAAGATGCTGTGAGAACCATTTCATCCAAATGCCAAATAAACTTGTGTTCTGGAAGAGGTATGGTCAGCCCGTGCTGTGATCCGGCCCCCACAGGCAGGGAGGGTGTGGCAGGGCACCTTTCTTCATTTCTTCATTTTATTTAACTTTTTCCACTTATTTATGTATTTATTTTGAGAGGTTTTTGCTATAGGGCGTTGCCAGACAGAGAGAGAAACAGAAAGCGAGAAATCACCCCCCAGGGGGGATGGCCACGCCACAATCCCTTCTCCTCCATTCTCCTCTCGGGATTGTGGGCACGCACGCACACGTGTCCGATGTGAGTTTAAGCCACCAGGTCCAGGACTCGAACCGCGGTCGACTACATGGGAGTCCAGCGACAGCCATTACGCTAACTGCTGGTCCCAACAAATCCCTGGATCTGATGCCAGACCCAGAGGTTCCTGTTCACCTTCCTATTCCAGCCTCTTCTGGCATCCCAGGAAAGAATCCCCAGGGACACTCCAGACTGGGTGAGGGGTCGCGGTCAGAAGTGTCAGTGAGTTCCTTGGTCGGAATGGGAGCTTGGAGGAGGCCCCTTGTTTCTGAACATGACTGTTGGGGCCGGGGTGGTTCTGGGCGCCCAGGTCGTCGTCAGCACCGCGGACAGCGCCCCGTGCTGCTGCCTTGGGTAGAGGTCAGCCCCCTTTCCCCCTGTGGAAAGAGCGCCACCCTCTGGCGGCGGGAAGGAGGCGCCCGAGCACGGGTGTCACCCGACCCCACCTCCTGGGCACTGACCCGGTTGGCCCTGCTATGCTCACACCACGGGCACACGGGCGCTCTGGAGCGGAGCTCTTTCCAGGCACCGTCGGCTTCCCGCATGGGCAGAGCTCACTTTCCAGGGGAGTGAACCGAGGACCAGGTGCGAGCCTAGGGTCTGCTGGACGCCAGAGCCTCCAGGGCTGCTTCCCAGGCCAAGTCTCCTCCAGAACTGGACAGGACGGAATCGGGCTGAGGCCTCAGGACCAGCAGTTGCCGTAATGGCTATGTCGCTGGACTCCCATGTAGTTGATCACAGCTCGAGTCCCTGACCCGTGGCTTAAACTCACCCCGGGCGCGTGTGCGTGTCCAAGATCCCAAGAGGAGAATGGAGGAGAAGGGATTGCAGCGTGGCCATCCCCCCAGGGAGTGATTTCTTGCTTTGTCTCTCTCTTTTTTTTTTTTTTTTGGAGAGGTTTTTGCTATAGGGCACATGTGCTCGCCAGAGAGACAGAGAGACAGCAAGAAATCACCTCCCAGGGGGGATGGCCACGCCGCAATCCCTCCTCCTCCGTTCTCCTCTCAGGATCTTGGGCATGCACGCACACGCGCCCGGCGTAAGTTTAAGCCACCGGGTCCGGGATGCGAACCGCGGTCGACTACGTGGAGTCCAGTGACATAGCCATTACGCCGACTGCTGGTCCCTCTGTCTCTCTCTGGCGAGCGCCCACGCCCTATAGCAAAAACGGCTCCAAAAAAAAAGGGCGGGGGCTGAGGCCTTGGGTGGGGTGGTCCCGGGAAAGAGAGAGGGCCTCAAGCAGGGCTCCATCTCAACCCAGATCCACAGGGGAGTGCTACTGGGAGTGAGGCTTGTGTGGGTGAGAGGGCGGTCCTGGGCCCTCCTACACCTCCCTCCCCCAGTGGCTGTGGTTTGTCAGTCCTGGTCCCCAGTCTGTTTTCCCTCGTCTGTAAAGGGGGGTGAGAATAGGGCACCCCCCGCCCCACCATCCCCGCGGGAGGACTGAGGCCGGCGGTGGTCGCTTGGATCAGAGCACGTGCCTGGTGAGTTTGGGGCTCCCTCTCCCTTCCGGGTGGGCCCTGCTTGGACACCACCCACTCTGACCTTTAGCCCCGCCCCAGCCCCGCCCCTTCATGAATATGTAGCAGCCTCGCTCCGCGATTTCCGGCCGCTTGCCAGAGCCGTGAGCTGCACACGTGCAGGGCCCCAGCCCCACGCTCGCCTTCCTGGCAGTGCAGCCCGTGGTGCACGCAGACTCGGAGGGTGAGCACCGGGGTGCTGCTCATCTGATGTGGCATCTACCCGTGGCCGTCTGCCACCTCTCGGGTCCTGCTACAGGGAGGCGGAGAGAAAGGAGACGCAGAGGCAGGCTTGAAGAAGGCCCAGAGGGCGCGGGTCTCTCAGCTCGGTCCCCTGCCCACCGTCTGCAGGCGCTTGGTGCTACCACGTCCAGGACCCAGAGAGTGGCGAGGACAGAGGGTGGTGCGAGGCTGTGAGATCGCTCTGTGTCCTGGGGCCGCCAGAGCTTGTGCCAGTCTTGCGAGTGGGGCCAGAAAACAGTCTGCACCCACTCCTGTGGCCTCCGCAGTGTCCCAGGGTCTGGACACCGGGCAGCATGCTCGCGACTGTTCCTCCGTGGGTGTGTCGCGGTCTGCGGTGGCATCAGTTGGGGTCTGTGAGCCCATTCAAGTGGCCAGCCCTGGGTGCATATGGCAGAGTCCCCAGTATGAGGGTGTGACCTTGTGCTAGGGGGACCTTCCACCCTCATCTTCCTATGAGGCCACCGGCCTGCAGGTTTGGGGATGAGGTCAGGTGCAAGGTGGAAGGAAGGACATCGCGCTTGTCCAGGTGTGGGAGAGGAGCTGGGGGAGGACAAGGGCTCTGAGGCCGGACTGTG